AAAAAATTTACAACAGGACAAAAATATGAAATCGATCTAAATTATAATTGATGGGTTGGGTTTGAACAGATTTGGAGTATTTTTTTATCAGGTTTTGGTTATACCAAATTTTAATTGGATGGATTTTGATTATTGAGGTCTAAAAGTCAAAAACCCGATACTAGCTTGAGTAAAATTGAATTTCTTTTGGCTTTTCTAGTTTTTTTAAAAGATTTTAATAATTTTTAGGCTTTTCAATCCATTTTCATATTTTTTGGGCTTTTTTTGAATATTAATTTTTAAATCTAATGCTTTATGAAATTATATCTAGGCCCTCCCCTACTATTCCTGCACTAAATATTGGCGATTTTTTTTTTTTTGGTTTTTATTTTTGGGTTTAAATCAAAATCAAAATAAATGGTTATTTAAAAAAAAATTAACCAAAATAAAAAAATCTTAAATTTTTTATTTGATTAATGGTTAATAAAAACTAATAACTAAAAATTCAACTAAACAATAGTTTGATTTCGCTAGTCACCAAAATCAAACCGTATCCTCCCATGTCCCATCCCTCTTACCATCGGTAGGTACGGTTCACCCCTGCCGCTAACCAAGCTAACTTGAACTTGTTGATGATTGTGTTGTGACCAGATATATAGATGGCTCCAGTGCATCGGGGTTCTTCGCCAACGAGACGGTGACTCTCGATGTCACCAACGGCCAGAGGGTAAGGTTGCATGACGTGCTGATCGGATGCAGCAACTCTTTTAAAGGGATTAGTTTCGACAAGGGTGCTGATGGAGTTCTGGCGTTAGCCAACAGCAAGTATTCCTTCACCACAAAAGCCACTCAGCATTTTGGTGGCAAGTTCTCGTATTGCCTCGTCGATCACTTGAGCCACAAGAGTGCCTCTAATTACCTCATTTTCGGTGATAATAGAGAGGAAACGTCACTATTAGGCGAAACTCGACATACCAAATTGGAGCTAAATTTGATTAGACCATTCTATGCTGTCAATGTTGTTGGAATCTCCATTGGTGACAAAATGCTGGACATTCCACTCATGGCATGGGACGCCACACAAGGTGGAGGGACGGTTTTGGATTCAGGCACAAGCCTAACAATGCTGTCAGACCCTGCCTACAAGCCTGTAATGGCAGCCCTGGAGGCCTCTGTTACGAAATACCCAAGAGTGAAGCTGGATGGAGTGCCTTACTGTTTTAATTCGACCAGATTTGATAGCACCATGGTGCCAAAATTGGTCATTCATTTCGCAGATGGAGCTAGATTTGAGCCTTTTTTGAAGAGTTACATTATAGATGCTGCAAACGGGGTCAAGTGCTTGGGGTTTATGCCTGGAGCTTGGCCTACATCGTCCGTCATTGGCAATATCATGCAGCAAAATCACTTGTGGGAATTTGACTTGGTTAGGAAAACATTGGGTTTTACTCGTTCAACTTGTACCTAGCGTCAAGTTCATATATATTTAATTGCTCAGAAATATGATATATTGTGGTTTCTCCCTCCTCTTCTGTAAATTTCACATGTATGTGTCTCGTTGATTTTACATAGTCCTCAATACAGTTGAGGGACTAATTTTATTAAGATTTTTAATATGTGTATCTAAGGTTTAGGTTAAGAGTGTAATTATTATATTTTTTTATTAATTAATATTTTAAAAAATAAAAGTTAATCTTTATTTAAATATTTTTTACCAACGACTTAAATAATTCAGTTATCATCTCTTTTCGTTGGAAGTAAAAGATCCTGAATTTGATGAGTTACATGACATGCGAGTGAGATATGATAAGGAATGGTAGATGATTGGATCTCGTTGTACAACTAAAATAAAAAAAAATAACTTTCTAATTAAAATGATCCATATAACCCTGGTGATGAAATCAATTATAATTTTTGTATTTTTTAATAATAATTAATATCAAAAGAATACAATAAATACATTCTTAATCTATACTTTTAAGATACAAATTAGATAAACTCATTTTTTTTTATAATGTATTAATTAAGGTCTTTTAATAAATTTCACATGTATGTGTCTCGTTGATTTTACATAGTTCTCAATACAGTTAAGGGACTAATTTTCTTATAATGTCAGTTGCCTATTTTCAAAAAAAAAAAAAAAAAATTCTTATAATGTGTTAATTAAGGTCTCCTAATTTTGACCTTTTAAGGTGTAAGTCTATAAGGTTCTAGATTTGAACATCCTTTTTGAGATCCTCCAAACAAACATTATCACATCAATCAATTAAATAACAACTCAGTAATAATTTTACACCTTATTAAAAATAAGTTTATATATTAATTTGCAAGGTAATGATATATAGACAACATCTATAACTTTTAAATATTATTAAATAAATATATATAATATTATAAATTTTAATAAAGTAAAAAATAATATAACATATAAAAATAATAATAAATGTGACTAAAATTTAAAACCAAAATCTAATTTTTTTAATTTAATTATGTGATTTATGTCATATCATTAATCTTAAATTTTCATTCCAAATTTTCATTCCAAATTTTCATCATTCTTATCATTACTTGACATATAAAATTATGTAAAAAAAATTACATCATTTTTCTAATTTGGACGGTTTTGAGCAACATGAGCCTTCTGTGGCTCCGGATGCCAGTTTCTTTTGCTATTTTTTGCTTTTTTGGCAATTCTTCCGTTTCCATTTCCACGACCCTCTTGCTCTCTCTTTTCCCACTACCCCTTTTCCCTTTTCTTCTCCACTTGATCTTTCCTCTCTGTAAAGTATCATATATTTTCAAAGAGTGGTTCATGCTTAGCTTGAAGGAAGAGGACAGTAATGATTATGAAATGTGAACGTGGGAAAAGGTATATATCATGCCATCATATAGACAAAATGGATTCAATGATTGAAGCAATATTATAAGCACTAAGCAAGGTCATTTCTTGCGTGCACGCCTGCCCATTGTAAGCTACAAGGGAAGGAGAAGTTGAAGCTGAAGGGAGAATCCAAATCCTTATCCAATAATGGAGGTTGAATTGGAGGCCACCACGAATGAGTTTCGCATTTAAAAATCACGAATTTATCCATCCATGGAATATACATTTCAAAATGTTTATCAGGTCCAAGGTTTAAAAATTTTAGAACAAAAATAAACTCTCATATAAAATTATGTTATTTTAATAATTTTTTAAAAAAAATTAAAATAATTTATTAGTGAAATTTCTTTTATAAATATTTGATGAAATTACTGAATATCAATTTATATAGTAAAAAATTAGATAAAAAATACTTTAAAATTATGTTATTTTAATAAAATATTATATAATAACATCATTTTTACTTTAAAATTTTAGTTATTTTAGTTTTTAAAATAAAACTATTAAAATAACATAATTTTTAAATTTTTTATTTAATATTTAACAATATTAATACCCACTTTTTAATATTTTATTAAGATAACATAATAACTTTTAGTGTGTTTCCTCGTAATATTTTCGGAGCTCGAGCTATAATTTTCTGCACAAAACAAAAGAATGCCTTGACCGTATGTAGATATAATATATAATATTTTTTAGCTGCATGAAGTTAATATTTATTAATTTTGATTTTAAAAAAAATTAAAACCTCAACTTATATTTAAAAATCAAAATTTTAATTTAAAATTTAGATTTTTATCTAATTAAATATTAATATTTAATATGATAAATTTTTTAATTTAAAATTAAATTTTAATTAAATAAAATAATATAATTTAAAATAAAAATTGTAATTTATTTTAAAAATAAAAAATTAATATACACTTTTCTCATAATATATTATATTACCCTTTAACCACTCACTTTAAAAATTCTTATTTTCATAAAAAAAAAAAAAATCTAGAAATCCTTATGATTGAACCAAATTAGGTGAAAGTAACGTGAATCAAGGCGCTTTCCCGGGTGTGTATTTAAGGAAAAGTCATGAATCTCCCCCACGTGCAGTCTTAGGGGCAGTTTCGCATGGAGATTTTCCCCCATCTTTTTAGATTTTTTTTTTGTATTTTTTTTAAGAGTAGTGCTATAAAAATAAGTTTTTTATATTATTTTTTAATATAATTTTTATATGTTATTAAATAAGTGAATACATTTAATATTATGAATCTCAAATAAATAAAAAATTTATCATTTAAATGACACATTAAATTATATCAAAAAATAATATAAAAAATTACCTTAAAGTCATTTTTTGGTCTGAAAGGACTATAGTTCAATTTGCTCTATATAGATTAGATTTTAATTTTCTACTTCTTATAAATGAAATTTCTCTTTTAAGGGAGGAAACATTTATAAAGAAAAACTTGGCCTTTTAACCCAAAAATACACTTAAAATTTTAAAAACATAATAAATACCTTTTTTTGTTAATTGCTTATTAACATCCCTACCGCCACCGAGTGAATTTTCCGTTTGCTTGCATATTTAATATTTAAATAATTAAGTAATAATTTTTTTAATATTAATAAGAAATCATAAATTTGAGTGAGAGAATTTAGAAATGAAACAAAATATCTTTTACTATTCAATCCACAATTAAAAAGAAAAAATCACCTAATGAAAAATAAAATAAATTCAATCTTGTGTCGTGTTTTCTCCTTAATTTTTCTCTCTGTATTGGGCTTCGAACTGGGTTACAGGTTGGGTTATAACTTATATATGTTTCCCTCCTTTGGTAACCCTGGGTCTTAGCTCAAAACCATTTCTGAATTACATCAACTTACAAGTTATAGAGTTATTATTTTATAATTTAAATTGCATTAAATTATAAAATATAAATTATTAGATAAAAATAAAGTTTATAAGAGTTTTTTTCTATTTATTAATTAGTATTATACAATTTGATATAGTTTATTGCATAACATGTTTTTCCTAACTATATCTAAATTATCCATTGAGATTAAAAAAAAAAAAAAAAAGGGAAGTTCGTAATTGTTTCTAAAAGGCAAAACCATATAAGCCCATAAACTCCACCATTTGAGCAATTTAGCTCTTAATTCTTTAACCATCATAAGAAAAAAAAGGCTAAATTGCCATCAAAATAAGGGCTAAATTTATAGATTGTGGAGTTTAAGGGCTTATATGCATCAATTGAAGTTTGGAGGTTCATTAGGAAATCTAGGGTTAGTTTAGGGACTTAACATATGGTTTTGCCTTTCCAAAACTCTCTTTTCTCAACCAGAACGGCCAGACCCAGCCCAGCCCATTGATGCATTTCCATGAATCATGATTCAACATTCTCCTTCTACTCCTTTTTGTCTGGGAAAATGTTTTTGTTCATTTTTATTTAGGCAGAAGGTGCAATTCAGCCCCTCTACGTCCATTGTTGTGGCACATCAGCCCCTCTACCTAAAAGTAGAGCAAATCCGCCCCTCCACTTGACAAAACCGGCAAATCAGCCCTTCTGTTGACGATGACCTCATCAAATGTCATATTTCCGTCCACATCCTTGTTACTCCGCAACCAAGAAATGGCTTGGTGCTGATATGGCATTGGGTGGGTGATGTGGTCAATTTAAACTATAAAATTATTAAAGAGTCCTCATCTACTACCTTTTCTTCCATTCATCTTCTCTCTCCTCCTTCACAATCTCTCTCTTGGTATTGCAGATTTACTTCTTCTTTTTTCAATATTTTAAATTAAAATTTTCTTCAGATAAATCTAAATTTCAAAAAATTATTAAAAAAACCCTCAAAATATGAAAATATAAAAGTTAAAAAAATTTTCAAAATTAAAATGAAAACTTGTGGCTTTGTTGACATCAAGTAATTTGCTCATTAAGTTTCCATTTTCAATAACCCAAAATCTACCTCACTTTATTTTAAATAAAAATACATGTAATATTTATTTATTTTAAAAACTATATCAAAAATAGATTTATATATTTTTAATAAAAATACAAACTTAAAAAAATTAAAAAGAAAAAATGATGGATTCATATGTATTTCTTTACTCCTGCTTCATCTTAGTACAAATAAAAAACCTTCTGCAACAAAAAGGTATATATAAATTCATAATTTTTAATTTTTTTTCCTTTTTTTCAGTTTGTGTTTTTATTAAAAAATATATGAATTTATTTTTGAGATATTTTTCTAATAAAAATAAATATTACATATGTTTTTATATAAAATAAAGTTAAGTAGATTTTGTGATACTAGATATGGAGATTTAATGAGTAAATCATTTAATACTAGCAAAACCACAAGTTTTGATTTTAATTTTGAAAAAATTTTTTAACTTTTATATTTTCATATTTTGAGGGTTTTTTTTTAATATTTTTTGAAGTTTAGATTTACCTGAAGAAAATTTCAATTTAACTTATTAAAAAAAATGTAAATTTGCAATAAAAAGAGAGAGACTGTAAAGGAGGAGAGAGAAGATGAATGAAAGAAAAGGAAGTAGGTGAGAATTCTTTAATAATTTTGCAGTTTAAATTGATCACATCACTCACCCAATGCCATATCAGCACCAAGCCACTTCTTGGTAACGGAGTAACAAGGATGTGGACGGAAAGATGACATTTGATGAGGTCATCGTCAGCAGAAGGGCTGATTTGCGGGTTTTGTCAAGTGGAGGGGCTGATTTGCTCTACTTTTAGGTAGAGGGGCTGATGTGCCACAACAATGGACGTAGAGGGGCTGAGTTGCACCTTCTGCCTTTTTATTTATCGTTCCCCAAATCAGTGTAGCATTTAATTCCTTTTTCAAAAGTTTAACCCCAACAGTCTACTAACACTGTTAAATGCAGAAAATACCATCACCTAAATTAAGAAAAGGATAATTTGATACTTTGAATTGGTATATCACTATTATTAAAGCTAATTAATAATTGGGTTTGTTTAGGATGCAATAAATGTATTGTTTTACAATTAATTTATATAAAAAATTATAAAAATTGATTTTTATTTTAACACCAAAGTTGCTATTTCCTCAAAAATTCACAAGCAAAGTTGCATGTATGGAATTTGGATGCAGGTGTATCACTTACCTTGTTGAAAAACAAGAAAAGAGAATTTTCCTAATGACCCTCTCCTTTCTCGTAGCCAACCTCATTGTGGATGGCTGAAAGAACATTAGTTTAAAATGAAATTTGTGCTTTCAGGCAATTTGGAAGAGGGACAAATGCCTTTATGCAAAATGAGTTACTAAATTTACCTTGGATAGCTTCAAAGGACTTAAATACTATTGTGAATTAAAGTTAATAGATCCTAAATAAACTAAATGGTATGCAAATTAAAGTAAATTTGCAAATAAAAGATGCATTCATATTAAATTAAGCATGTTCATTGTCAAATTAAACTACTATCTATAAACAGATCTAGAAATCAAACTACTACAGAACTAGAGATTTAACCATAAATAAACATGAACTTAATATGAACAGAGGTTAAACTAACATGCCAAAAATTACAAAGAAGTGTGAGCGCCATACAAGTAATAATTTGGAGAAACGCTACTTATCATAAATATTAAACTAATACCAATCAGAAAAAGAACATTACCTTGCAAAAATTGAAAAAACTTGATGTTTATTACACGAAAGGAAATTATAGAAGCAAATACACAAACTAATTTGGTTATTTGAATGCTAAAATCAACTTAAATCTACTGGGATTTATGCTAAAAATTAAAATCTATGAGCCAAAGTGAGCAATCACTATGAAACTAGAGAATTGAAAATTTGACAAGTTGTGTGTAGAGTTGACCGTGTGTTGAATGATCAAAAAATTTCCTTTTGTTTGTCTTCTCCTCACTTGCAACTCCCCACTACCTAGTGGTTACACGAACGTGGGTGGTTTCTTGAAGAAGATGGATACCTCCGCAATAGACTGAGTCAAATCTTTGTTTAGATTTTGCCACATGTCCCTATTATCTACCAGCTCACAATTTTAACGAAAACAAACTCCTAAAAACCAACTATTTTTTAATAGGACAGGGGCAAGTGATTCAACTTATGGGGGGGAGGGGTATACCATAAGTTCAAACCTTGTCACCGGGTGAGGAAGCCTTTTACAATTAGATAAATGATCAGTGAACCTGAAGGCCTTCGTCTCCTAAAAACTAACTTAAGCAATTCCACCATGGCTCAAATGGGCAACTGACAAATAAACCTCATCTTTTCAGCTCCTTTTGTTTTTTTTCTCTTTTTAATTATGTGGCATGTCATCTATCAAAGGCCCATGTGGCTCTCTTTCAACCATTAAAATAAATTAACATGTGACATAATATTAAATCTTACAATTTATGATATAAACAGTTACATAAATAATTTTAATTAACTAATTGATTAAATTAAAATCAATATTAATATTTTTTATATAAATTAATTAAAAAAATATAATAATTATATTTTTAAATCATATGCTCTAATCGCACAGGGTAAGAAACCTTAATAATTTTGTCCTTGGAAGTTACATCCTCGTACGCTCCTACTACTATTTTGTTTCCACTTGTATTTTGAAGTGGAATCCTCCAAGACAAAGAAGGCAGTATGGGTTTGCTCTCAAGGTTGTGAGGACCAAATGTTGGTACATTCTTTATATGTTGTTAGTAGAACTGGAAAAACATTCCAAATTTCTCGCCTTAGAGACATTATTTGCATCATGTCATTGCAACAAGTACAACAGGCACTCAAGTATAAACAAAGAGAGTCAGTTTCGCTCGTTCTATGCATAAATTTGATTCATTTCCTTATATGGAGAAACATTGTTTTCTGTATTCACCAAATCAAATTACTTACATCCACCCCATTCAGTATATACCCTTGTATTCCCTGTTTTCAGTTTCACAGCCACATTTCTTATTTCAACATGTTATTTCAACTACCACCTTCTCCTTTTTTGGAGGGGTAAATATGTCAACCACCAAACTTACCAGCATTCCACAAAACAACACCACACATTGATTAAAAAAAAAAAAAAGAGAGGAGAGAAATGCACATTTTGAATAAGATGAAGCTAAAAACAAGGACAGAGAACATCATCCATCACTTTCACAAAGAGCAATCAACTTTTCCTTCATTCCTTCTATGAATCACTCCCACCCCAAAATTAACCACTTCCATTTCTTCCAACTCTGTTGTTTTTCACCCTCTTTTTTTTTTTTTTCATTTTAATTTTTATTTCATCCTGCTGGTATGACACATCAGCAGCCATTGAAAACCTAATCAGCTCCTATTTCCAGTCATCAATCCATCATGCCCTTCAATCCTTCATTCCTTTGCTTTGACTTTTGATTTTACCCTCACCAACACCTTTGCTTGCTGATAAATCTACTGACTGAAAATCGCCTGTTAATTCCTCTACTTTCTGCTGCAAATGATGGTTGAGAAAGAGAATAAGTGAAATAGAGCATGAAGAGGATGAAGAAACATAAATAAGATTCCGAAGCATCATTTTTCAAATATGGAAATGAATTTTTATGGCTACCAGTAACCACACTTGTTGGTATAAAGACGGAATCAATCCCAAATCTGTAATGGTACACCACTCATCACTAAATTCAATTTCTATAGGGAACCTTGCTTTATTCTAAACCTTTTTTAATAGCTGATAGTCAATGTTGGCATCCAAGATATTTAAAATATCCATTATAATAATGAATCTGAAAGCACATAAGATCCCCAACCCTCCAGTCCCAATAATGCCACAATGGTCCAACATTGGAATGCACTCAGAACACATAGAAGGATGGATAACAAGGAAAATCTAATAACAATTTTTCTAGCTAGGAAAAAGATAAAAGGAAAGTAAATGGCAAACCTTTATGGGATTAAAGTGTGAAATGGATGGTCTGGCTTTCTTTTCCTGCATCTCTTTCTGGCGACCTTCATAAAAATAGAAGTCATCCAGTATGGATGTCTTTGACTCATAGTTCTTAAAAATGTTCAACATCTCAATCCCCTGTGGAAATCTCACCTGGAAAGAACACCAAAATAAGCATATAGGAGGAAAAAATAAACCAATGAAATTGGAAACTCTTTGGAGTTTAATCAAGTGCACCTCCTGTGTGTCTCTGCTGTTTGTAACAGGTTTATTCTCATTGTTCTCAAGTATAATATGCCGTAATTGTGCATTTGGTACATCTTTTACAATATGCCACTTGACTGGGAAATAACCACTCCACTTGTCTTGTTGCCAGAAGTCCATGTTTTTGTTGAAATCAACCCGGCCCATCATCTCAGCAACTCCACAAAATTGCCCGCTCGTATTCACCTGCAGGGTGCAACAAAAATCAAAAGAAATAAAGAAGAAAAAACTCATGGACATGTGAGTGTATGTAAAAAGGAAAAGGATTATACAGACATGGTTTCAGAGTCAATTAAATTTTAGAAGCTTACCGAAAAGAAAAGGAAAACAGGACACTTGCTTCCTTTCTCTGCTGTCTTCTGTTTGGCATCTTGATATGCACTATCCAGCCTCTTATTTCCACTAGGAGTGCTGGCCCATACATTGTACTTGATACTCTTATGAATATCATCTTCACTGTAAGATTTTATAACAAAGAAAAATGCATGATCATATTTTGTTGGGAAGTCAGGAACGTTGTACTGATCCCTCCTAATCAGAGAAGTTGCACCGCTACTCTTTCTGCTCTCCTTGCTAGCGAAAGATCCAGCAGCATTACCTCCAGCCAACCCTTTGACACTGGCTGTCCTCAAACCTTGATTCTGCTCGTTGAGCAGACTTAAGTCTCCAATGCTATTAACCTTCCTTCTTGGCTTGAGCTTTTCTTCAGCACCCCAACCCCGTCCATTAGCCTTCCAACTAACTGGATTAGTTGGATAAAGCACACCACCCTTCCCCTGGTTATGTAAGGGATACTTCATAAAAGGGCAGTACCCTTTTCCCAATGAATCTGACTCAAAGGTTGAGCCATGTGAGATCTGCAAATCACCATAAGAATCATCAAAATTGCCTGGGGTGAGGAAGAAATGCAAAGTACTAACAGCTAGGGTCTATAGAGTAGATACCTTGCTTGAAGTTTTCAATTGGTTGCGTTTCCCTTGACAATCTGAAGAAGGCAAAGAGCTTTTGACATCTAATGGATTGCTGAGGTCAGAACGTGGTAAATTTTTGGAGAAAGGAGAATGTGCATGACTAGGAGAGGATATATTGGGTTTAGAACCATGAATTTCTGGGATTCCATAATAGCTCTGTCCAAATGTCCCATCCCCAACAAAGATTGATGGATCCCAGACGTAGGGTGCTGGCACTAACTCCCCATAAGGAAGGGGGGTTTGAATATAACCAGGGGGAGCAACAACTGGTTGCAACATTGAACTTGGTGAATATGGCAATTGACCAGTGACAAACTGCCCATCAGCACCAACTGTAGCTACAGGCACATAAGGAGCATAAGGTCCGTAACCAGTCTGAATTCCCGGCATAAAGTACACCAAAGATCCATTATCCGCTTGCATAACCTAAATGAAACATAAGAGCGAGCCAGATTAATTTAACCTATAGCATCAGGAGACTTGGCAGGCAGCCTAAGCTATTGAGCCTTTAAGATAGACACTGCATATACAATGTCTAATTTTCCATATACACCAAATTGTATAGCAAAGACTTACAGGATATTGAAGCTCCAATCCATCACCACCCATGTAGTATCCTTGGTCTGTGTAACCTGTCAAAACACTAATGTAAGATGTGAAAACAAAAAAGCAAAATCAAGAAAGATGCAGCGTCTAAAGAGCATATGGTATATGATTTGCTGCAACAAACCTGGATAGTAGTAACCATAATAGCCCTCAGTTGGATAAGGTGGAGCTTGATCCATTGCCAGAGATTCATTTTCCACATCACTTTCTTTGCCATATCCTGTTGCATCAGCAGATGAAATGCAGGATGTTGCATCGGATGGGCTGCCATCCTTAGTTGGAACCTGAATCAACAAGTCCAAATCATAAATATATGATTGTAAGGAAAATTGGTAAAATTAATTTTATTTTAATTCTTGAAAGCATCTTGAATGTCAATCTCAAAAATTTGATTTTCAATATCAAAATATATCAAACAACCATCCCTAATTAAAAGGGTGTAATCAGAAATGAAATTTCAAATGTAATGAAGTTCTATCTCAGAACCAGTGAGACTAATTACTCCTAAAAATCCCATTTTTCTTCTTTCCCAAATGAAAACTCTTTGTTTGAGATGCTTTTCATCAAAGCAAATTCTTAACCGTATAATAAGCAAGGAGATAATAAATCTACAGCAAAAAAAAGGGCGTATGAGATGATTACCATATTGGGAACAGGGAGCTCCATAGAAGGATCAACTTTTGGGTTCTTCATTTCTTCTCTAGCTGGTAAACAAGAACAAAGTAAAGATTCAAACTCCAGAATCAAAAACTGAACCGATAAACTGCAGTACATAAACAATTATCTGCAAGTAATTGACACAACACCATTCAAAGCCGCAAAAGGCCAGACTCTCTCTCTCTCTCTCTCTCTCTCTCTCTCTCTCTTTTCTGGGTGAAAATAACCCTGCAACTTTCATTTAATCCAAACAAAATAAAACAAAGTCTATAGAGAAATCTCTCTCAAAGAATCAATATCCTGGCTTTCAATGAAAAACATTTCCTATACAGAGAATAATCCAAATCACTTATTTACCCATATATAAAGGGTCAAAAACAAAAACAAAAACAAAAACAGAACACAAACATGAATATGAAATCATGAGCATATATATAGAGAGAAAAAGGGTATACGTTGACGAAATTTAGCAGTCTCTGGGTTACCAACACCACACCAAAAATCACCACAATAAAATCCCTCCAGTTTATTCTCCTGATCAATAATACTTCAATCCAAAATCAATAGTAAGAAGAAGAAAAAGAAAATGAATCTTTCTTTCTCTGCAAGATCCAAACTTTTCCCCGGAAACAGAATGAAATTCGAAGAATTAGATTGAATTGAAATGGGTTTTTGTTAGAATTCCAAACAACGAAAACAGAACAACAAAGACAAAAAATAGCAAGTCCGATAAAATCGGAGAATCTTGTCGGAAAAAATAACCAAAGTTGAAATAAGAAAAAAAAAGAACACCAAGATTCTTGTTAAAACATATCTGTTGAAACCCAAACAAGGAAGCCGATTTCTTTGGATAAAAACTGAAACGAACATAAAAATATCAACTTTGAAAAATAGAAAGTATATAAGTTTTTGGGTGTGTTTGTTTCTCGGAAGAGGGAAAAAATAATGGGGGCAGGAGGGAATGAGGTATGGTGGGATTGCTGGAGTTAAAAAGAGTGGGGAGAGAGCAATGAAGGGGGAAAGAACGATGGAGGTGGTGCCACGTCGCCTGTAAATAGGTGATTGGACGGCTCTCTATTTGCTGATTAGGTCGAGAATATTTCTCTTCACTTTCCTACGTGGGATCAATTTGACACTACAAAATTTAAAAAATTATGATTAATTAATGCTAAAAGAATATTCTCTTAATCCATTAATGACGGCAATTGAAAAAAGTTTTACCAGAATGATTATCATTTCACATGTTCTTATTTTGTCTAAATATTTGACCCACACCTATAGAACTTCTTTTCAATCTTAGTCACATGACATTTTGATTTCTAATGGGGTTGTTAAACTCTTTTTATATATATATATATATTTTAAAATTACTTATTTATTAAATGGTCTTACATGCACGCCCTGTCATGTTAATATAGTGGAATTAAGGACATTATTTTTTTAAATATTGGCCTTTAAAAATAGAATTTTGAATCTTATTTACAAGTTTATATTTGATTGTTAGTAAATCATACTTCTAAAGTTTTAAGTCACATCACATTTGATCATACATCTTAATTTTATTTGTTTTTAATTATCACATTTTAGTGTAAAAAAATAAAAAATATTAAAAGACAATTATTAATTCTTTAAATTTCAATTTACCCTTTTTTAATAATGAAAACATCATTCTAATCATTTAATAAGATTAAAATTAAATGTCAAAATTTTTAAAATCTTTAAGTAATATGTATTTTATAAAATGTGATAATTGAATTTCAACACTTTTTTATAATAAATGTGACAAGTGAAATAGACACATTAGTAATTGTTACTACAAAAGATTGTGGAAGTATGTTAAAAGCTTGACCACATAATAAGCCCACCACAATTTTACTATAAGTTTTTTGTTTTATAATTTGCACTATATTAAATTACATGATAAAAATCTTTACATAGTAAAAAAAATTAATATTAATGAATTTATCCTTTAGTAAATAATTTTTATTAAACAATTTAATGCAATCTAAATTATACAATAATTTTTTTACACCATATAAACAACTAATGACTCAACCATTCAACCTTGCTAATTAACGCATCATTTGCGGATAACTTATCAAGTACTAAGCTGATGATTTTGACACGTATGGAATGTAAAAGCCCATTTGGTAGAATTTTTTTTT